GCTCATTCATCAGACAGTACTATTTTAAATTTATACATATGAAGACAACTGTATGAGAAAAATTACCAGGAAATGAGAATATCATCGAATATGACATAGCTGTGACAACTTATAGCTATATCTGAAAAAGCACAAAGGTGTGTTTAGACCTTATTTACAAAGTCAGTTTTTCTGTAACTTGATGTCAGATGTCACTCATTCTATACAAGCTTAGATTTTTCAGATAATATCACACATTGCATATGTTCTTAAGATCACATTTATTATTTTAATGTGATGTACTGCAAGTCTTCACAGTAGAGTATCTTTTTAAAAAACTCATCAAACCTGAAAAAATACATCTGACTTGGCATGTCAAGTCAGTGCAAATAAAATCATTTTCATTGTATAACTTTGATCCACATAGTAAAAAAGGAATCATAAAAATAATATTTTTTCTTTGTGTATTTATTTAGGAAGGCCAGGAAGGGCATTGAATTTTGAGTGAAAAATTATCATTTTGATATTGTCAGACATACAGAAACATTGACAGTGACAAACCAAAGAGTTACAGGTTCTGGAATGAGATTTCAAATGTGAAATTTTGCTCCAAGACAAATTTTTCTCTCTTTCTTATACTTAGAATAAAGTGAAACTATAATGAAGATGTTAACATTCCCTTAATTGCAAAAATACCACTGGGTATTTTTTTAATGAAATCTTCATCTCACAAATCTATTTTAAAGGAAGAAAGTTTTGAAAGAGTGACTTGGCCATACAGATTGTTTGGAAGCATTTGGGGTTTCTTTGTGTGAACATCTAAGATTATTTCTGGTAAACAAAACAGCTAGTCACTGATCCACAAAGCACACAAACGTTTACACAATTTCCAGTTCATGAAAAGTGCCATGAAATTAATTATGAGCATATTTGAAAATGTTTCCTCATGTTCTGCTTCAGGAAACGATGGCTGATTTGAAATTTAGAGAAGTGCCATAAAATGAGTTTCTTCAGCGTGATCAGGTTCAGTGAAGATTGTAAAGCACTGTAAAAGCCTGGATTCATTCAATCCTGTGCTTTTGCAAAGCTCCTGTGAATGTTTTGTATCATTGCTGTCAGATGTGATTTTCTCTGCCACTGCAGATGTGCACAACAGATTTACTGTTACAAGTAATACACAGTAAATTCCTGACATAGAGGCATTTAGGGCCACTGCCAGATGTCTCATTTTAATAATACATTTGTATATCCTAGTGCTAGAGGGACAATTAAGCTGTGAACAATAAAGATAAAATCAGTGGAGGACAGGTATTACAACTTTATTGTTGTAGTCGATCTACGGTGTTCAATAAAATGAATGATTTCTGTTTTGGTTTTGTGTTTTTACAACAGGATTACTATCATCTAGGTCTCATTCAACAAATAGTGGATAGGCACATGTCTTTATTACAACTGTCTGCATAGAAGAAGGTCATCTGTTGCTCCATTTCTTCTCTGACAGCCTGGATGCAGAATTATCTCTGTCAGCTCCAGGATGCATTAGGCAAATGTAGTATCGTTTCCATCCTCAGCAAATTAGTAATGTTGAGAGATCCATTGGCTGAGCACTGCCAGTTTGTTATCTGTGCAATTGCCTGGGAAACATTTCCTGACTTTGTGAAGTGTTTATCTGTCTGCTACAGGTACAGAAAAACTGTGCAGGGAGGTTTTAATACTTACTCTATTTCTAACTTTTGCTCAGCCAGAGTTCTTGAATTGGTTTTCATTAGCTGGCAGAAGTAACAAGTGCTACTCCCAGTACTAAGGGTTCTGAATAAATGCCTCAACCCCAAAGAGAAAGAGAGAGAGAGTACAGATCTGAAGTGTACCTGCATTTAAAATTAGTGGAATCATGCAGGTACTTACACACCAAAACACCAGAAAGTCCCTAGAGTTTACTGTAGCATTAAGTGAGTCAAGACCTGACCTTTTCAGAAATTCAATATTGCTTGAATTGAGTGAGAAATTCTGATATTGGTACTTACTGTTCTGTGTTTAGCCCTATGGCACTAGGATTTTGTGCTTAGATGTTAATAGAAAGAGGTGGACGGCTTGTAACAATCAGAACAGATAAGAAATAAAGGGGTTTCCAAGGTGAATCTTCCCTAAAAATCTTGCTGGTTTAAATAATGCTCTCTTCTGGCCTTAGATAATCCAGTCTTACCTCATCTAAAGAGATCATATAATTTCTTCCAGTTAACTCCTACACTGAAATCCACGGCCTGCTTTTAGATTAAGCATATATTCCAGAAATGCATTCACTTTTAATTTAAAGGCTTTGAGCAATGAAGGACCTAGCACTTTCCTGCACAGTTTGTGCCAATGGTTACTCACTGCCATGGTGAAAAAAGAAAAAGAAAGATCTGTCTTGAAGAGTGAAACTGATTGGCTTTGACTCTGAGCCTTCATTTCTCATAATGCCTAAATGAGCACTTGGGCCCAAACTCCCCTTGTTCTGGCTTGCAGGAGTCTGAAGAATGGTTAACAAAAGGTAGTGGTAGACAGCAAGCACTCTGGATGCTTGTTTGCAATTGTGGCAATTGTCTGAAATTGCCAATAACGGAATGTGATGCAGTCCCTGTTTCCATTTCCCTCTTTCTGGATCACATATGCCATGCTCCTGCTGTCGAAAAAGTGAGCTGGTGGTAAGTCCCATAGTCCTGTACCCCCGTAACTCTGGGCAGCGCACTGGGATCAGAGGTGGCATTCTTCTATGATCACTTTGGGTAGAAAATGCATGCGGAAGTGAAGAATGGACCCTGGCATCTTCCAGTAGGCCCACCACACTCAGTGATGGGAAACCAGGACGGTGGCCTGCATCTGGCTTCACTTTAAGCATTCTCTTGTGATACAGAGGAGACAGGAAAGACATATAAAAACTACATGATTAACATTTGTTTCTGAGGCTGCTAGTTGGAGAATCCCTCTTTTTTCAGAGCCACAGTAACATAATTTAGTATACATTATAGCTTCCTACTATAGGGTCTCCCTAAATTCTACTCTGAAGCAAGCATACATGAGTACAATCAATCTGGATCACATGCTTTAGTAAATTCAATTTACAAGTGTCCCTCTTCAAACCACCCCTCCTTTCCTAGTAAAACTGAGGCAGCATGTAGACTGACAGTTTTAAGAATTATCCCTTGAGCCCTGTTAAAAAAACACAATTCGTAGATACTCATATGTTAACCACATGTGTGTCGTTTTGCTGGCAAGTACTTAGAAGCTAATGGCAATGGGGTAATGAAAATAGCTGAAACCATGGAAGGACACTCAAAAACATGCAAAATTTTTGCAAAGTAATTCATGAATTAAAAAGCTACTGGGCTATCAACATGATGTATCAGAATAAGAGGAAAAACTGTTAACAGTCCTGCCAAGCCATTATTAGCAATTCTTAGCTTTCTTCAGACATATCCTCCTCCTCCCCCACTTCCATTTTTCCTTGCAAAGAGTGGAATCTGTTTGCCAAGTTGCTTCCCTGATTTCAGCAGTCCAGAACGTCTCCCTGACATAAATCAACTTGTTCTGGAGATATCTCCCTTCAGCTGGGTCTGGCAGATTCACAACGAGAAGGGAAGAGACAATGGAGTCAGACAGTCCCCCCAAAAGCACATTAGCTGAGAGCAAATAGCTGATTAGTAAAATCTTCCCATCATTTAAAGATGAATTTTCCTTAGTGATGAAAGCCAGGTCTCCTAGACCTCAAGTCAATGTCTGGTCTTCTAGATCAGTTCCAGGGTAGGTTTACATTGTGATTATCATGGACTTTGCAGTTTGAGTATGCATATGTACAAGTTAGCTTTTAATGTCAGAGCCTGGACAAGATTCAGTGGTTTAGCTGCAGGAAAAAAAAAATAAATAGAAATCACACCCAAACTCCCAAACAATTCTGTGTTTCTGTTAGGGTACAGTCAAACTAATGAATTTTGGGTGAAACTGTAGCAGAGAATACACTTCACAGTTGCCCAGTTGCCCCCTCTGTGCAGAGATTTCAGCATTACCTTTGGGTTGCAAGGCAAGTAGTATCACCTTCCTTGGTGCAATACTTCCAAAAGGATGTTGATGTTATGCCTTGTTTGTCCTCTATAAGACAAAAAGAGTGTCAATGTAGAGTCTGCAGCATGTGAACTATGATTTTCCCATGTCTTGAGAGTGATTTTTTTTTTTTTTTTGCAATTAATTACTGGTAACGACTGCATCCTACCTGCTTTGAACTCTGTTGAGAAGCTCTGTGAGCTCTTTTCCATCTTGGTCGGCTGATACATAAATCCAACGTTTGTGTTTTTTGTTTGTTTGTTTTGTTTTGTTTTGTTTTGTTTTGTTTTGTTTTGTTTTAATGCTGGGATGCAAGGATATATGATTATAAAAGAAATTGTAAGTAGATGAATATTTAGGGTGAAATACAGATATTTCAAACAACATTTATAAATAATGAATTTCATTTTTCATCCTATTTTACTATAAGATTGTGAATTATTAAAACAAAACAAAACAAAACAGAAAAATCAATTTCATTATAGAGATACCTTCCTGTAAAATACTTTAGATGTTAACAATGTTCTTTTCAAACAAGTGTGACTTTGTGGTCTTGACTAATTTTGCTTGTTTGCTTCAATAAGAAGAAATTTATATTATAAATAATAAATTTTATCTTTATTGCAATTTATTAGAAATCTATTATTGGTAGAAAATATTTTAATGCTCTCTGGTGCACTTGACTAAATATAGCAAGAATAAATTGATGCAGTGTATAAAGATGCAACCTGAATTTAGCAGGATATTTATGTGTATATATATACAAGAAAAAAAGGCTACACAAGCCATATAAATGTCCCTGCTTTCCCCAGAAGAGCTTGTATCAATGTCTGCTAGAAAACAGTTTCCACAGAATGTAATTATCTTATAACATTACTGTTCCTAAACCTCTTGTGATATGTTTTTTTTTTTTTTTTTTTTTTTTTTTTTTTTTTTTTCCCCAGAAACTTCCGTTATCAGAGGAAGGAACCTCAGCTTTCATTAAAAACCTTAACATTGGCTTCTGACAGCTTGTACAAATATATCATCTAAATATGTTTGACTTTTGTAGTAACCTGAACCTAAATGTTCATACTGCAGAAGCTGAAACTGCACTTTCTCAGTGTTCAGGTAAATGCATGTCTTCGTTTATTTCCAAGGTGTTCTCTGACTGTCTGCCTATACTGATAAACAAAAGGGAGACCACAGTCTCCTCAAGCACTGGATCTTCGATTGCCCATATTGCTTAACTACCACATAATTCCCTGACTCTGTTTTGGGGTGCCCCAAATAGCTGCTGCTGTGGCAAAGCTGGGAAGTGGCTAAGGACATTTTATGTCAGAGATCATTCTCAAAAGGCGCAGTGGAGGTGACTATAACAGTCTGGACTCAATCTAACCTAAACAGTCCTTCAGCAGCATCCTGACCCTCAAATACCATACAGGCCTTCATGGCACCGGCTAAGGAAGGCAATAAATAACTTTCCTGTCTGGCAGCTGTGAAACACACCCCATGATAGTTTAGACACTTGTAACTGGAACAAAACATGCAATGAATAATAAGAACATCACAGGGCCAAATGGTACTGATGAAGACTCCGGGCTAACTTCTATATGGTGGAGGTAAGGTCAGCCTGCTTAAGGTGTCACTGGACCTGAGGCAGGGATACTTGGGGTACGTTCCAGTTTCTAAGTTGGATGCTAGACTTCAGAAAATGAAGCTTCTGTGTTTATATGTTAATCTAATTAAAACATTATTTTTCTTTATGTCAATTTCCCATAGCAGCTAAGGCAGATATCCATTTACCAGATCATTAATGATTTGTGTGATAGTCAGATGTACATTGATTTTTAGTGTTTGTTCTAAATCCCTGGGGATTAGAGTACCTGAATGCTTTAATGCTGTTGGGGACCACTGAAAATCCCACTGTCTAAGCAATGTGTGGTATGTTTGTTCAGTTAATCCTAACAGCTCAAGCTTGTTCCAATTAATTTTATACCCAGACTTACTGCCTGGACCTTTTAATGTATTCTGAAAATTTGTGTGTAAATTGTTAGAAATCACTTTAAAATAGAGGTAATATGTTGTCTGCCTATAACGTAGATCTTGTTCTCTGCTAAGTTTCTAAGTTTCACACCTTCCTATGTGTGTTTCTACAGAGCACATCTATGCAGTTTCTGCAGTGTGTCAAACAGCAGAAGGGATAGGGAAGCGTAAGAAGCAGTCCTATTCTTTCCTCCATACCCTGAAAATGGCTCCAAAATATTATTATTTGTGAGAAGGAAGATTTTTAACAACAATTTATGCATTTCTCATTTTAGATTTTGCCTTTTCCATTTCAGGAGGCAATGCTTTTATATGGAGTTTGAACAGAACCCCACCTTTACTAGACAGAGAAATCCTAAGGTTTATGGAACATTTCTCTGTTCACTGAAAGATCTAGCAATGCTTGATCTATCCTGTGCATCAACCATTTATACCTGGGTTTAGCTGGAGTGCATGAAAAATTGATTCTACTGGAATTGTACTGGTTGAATTGAGTCTATGTTTAAAACTACCTACATGTACATATAACTGGGCTGGCTAGTTTGAGACCCCAGCTTGCATCTTTAATTGCTCAGTTAGGGCCATCCTAAGGATCGTTCTGGGATATTTAAAAATACAAAGGAAACATTTACTTACTGATCATTTTTTCCACCAACGCCAGCTTGGAGCTAGGATTGCAGCTATGAAGTGTTTTGACACAAGCTGCTTTGGTCTCTAGGGAGGATAGATATAGGTATATCCTCTCTAAAGGATAGACACAGTCCTGCAAAAGAAACAGACAGCTTCTGCTCCCTTCCTTGTTTATGGGGACATCTGGAATCTCTCTGAGTTTTATCAGATTAAATGCACCTCAAGGCCCTTCCTGAGCTAATGGCCTTCAGCAGGTTACTCAGGAAAAGACAAGGAACCTAAATATGGAGAGAGTTCTGTCTTGGCCCTTAGAAGTTTCCTCTTCACTCAGCTCAGGTGATTCTACACAGAATGTGACAAAATGAGGGGAAAAATAGGCAAAAATCTTCAAAGAGATCACATGCTCTCTCAAGTGTTTTGTCATGCTCTTCTGTAGGGATACATGCCCAGCAACTTCCTTCTCATCTGTCACCCCAAGGCCATCCACCTCAAGACACAGGTTCTCAACATCTTTTTTTACTGTCAACCTGGATGTCCCTTCTGGAATTTGGAGCTTCTGGATATTCTGGAAGTGGTGCAGGCTGGTCGTGGCACAGGAGAGGTGCACGCACAACACCGTCTGCACTGCTTCTAGGGCAACATTACCCCTTTTGTCATTGCAAATTCACAAACAGACAGTTGCTGGGTAAGCAACACTTACTTCTTTAATCCAAGAGGCTGTGCTACATCAGCCTTTAACCAAAGGTTTCTGTAAGGAAAGGCTGAGGTTTTCCTCAATGCTGAGCATATCCAAGCCTGATCTATCCCTCTTTCACAAAAAAATGCTGTAGACACGTTTCTGCACACAGCCAGAAATGGACTCAGCAAGATCAGTGCCCTCGTTTGGGGAAGGAGGAAATTTCTCTGGATAGCAGAATGATCTACTCCTACACTGCATCCCTTAGGCAATTCACCCATTCAAAGAGGTGTATCAGCTAACTTCACTGGATGACTGGTGGCCTTCTCTCTGGTGGTGAAGGGTGATCTGCCTGAAGAACTAGGGCTTGGGAAAGAAGGAAGAGGCTGGGAGGAACTGTTGGGCTGAACACTAACATATAGTTATGAAAGAAAGGGCAGTGCCATTGAATTTGAGGGGAAAGCAACATCCAAAATTACGATATGTGAATGATGATAGTGGTCTGCAGAAATATATCATTCCTAGACCACCTGGAAAAGCTTGCTGGAGGATGTTGGGAGAGGTAGGTGTGCCTGAGGTATAATTTGCATTCAGAGCACATTAAAAAATCATCCTGAAAACTCAGTAGTATAAATCAGCAGTTCATCATTCACACTAATTGTCCCAAGATAATTTCTGCAAACATCCTCTAGAGCAAGGAAGGGACCAACAGTTTCTCTCAGAAATACAGACAATTTATGGATGCTGAATAGAGAAAAATATAACAGTGTCTAAAATAACTGGAAAAGAGAAGTTTACATGGTCTGCCAATTCAAAGTATTCCTGCTAGATATTTCTCTACTGCTTTTTCGATCCTCAGAGCAAGAAAATAAGACAGCGTTTTTTGTTGACAGCTTCACAAAAAACAAAAGGCTGGGGAAAAGCTTACTCCAAGACCTCCTTACCTCCTTCACAGAGGGAGGGCTGGAGTGGGGGGAGCTCACAGCAGGGGCAAATGCAACGGTTTGGAGAGCAATTGCAGGGCTTGGAGAGAGACGACAGGAAGCAAGAACTGACCGTCTCCCTGCCCGGCACAAACACATACAGACTTAACCTACAGCTGAACTTTTGCCCTTGAGTGACCAGTGCCATTAGGACACGGGTCAAAAGGTTGCAGGGTGACAGAAAATGGAACTTTATTGAATGAAAGAGAAAATGAAAAAATTCCTTTGTTTGCTTAACTCCGTGTGGTTTGTATAGCCACTGTGATCCCATAATGGAGTCCAGAGTGAAAAAGTAACTTGATTTATCACATGCAAAGGAAAAAAAGGAAAAAAAAAGGGGGGGGGGCAGGGGGGGAGGGGAGAGAGAGAGAAAGAGGGAGGAATTCACTAAGGGAGTAAATAAGAAAAGAAAAAGTAAAGAATAAAATCCCTAAACCCTTAAGACATTAGAATAAATGTGACTTTAATCAATAAAAGCCCCTTATATAAATGAGACAGAGAGACAGAGAAAGAATTTTCATTACTTAGGAACAAGTATATATTAAGGACACCAGTGATGCATGTTAAAAGAATATTTTCCAGTTTGAGTAAGGAACAATGCATGTGTATGAGCATCTATTTGAAACATATTTTGGTTGGACACATATTTGAATGCCAGAATTTTATATGTGTAAACCATCTGCATTTATATGCAGATATAAACTCCAGGTATTTAAAATTAGTTTGAAGGTGAGAAAGAACTCTTGATAGGTAGAGAAAAAATAGGTACAACTGGTAGGACTGTGAGTGAAATTGGAGATTCTAAATGAGTTCAATTTAAGATAGCCTGAAATGTCAGCACATTTGATGTGCTTAATATTTTCTTCATTTCTTGACAAAATGTCAGTAAAGTTATGAATGGCTAAATTCAAATGTTTTAAAATGCTGCTATTACTCCTTGGATTTTTGGTAGAGTGGCATATTCTGGATTAGATCCAGAGTTACAAGGGCTAATGTGCTAATACTGATCTGTCTTAATAACGAGACAGAAAACAGTGGAGTTAGAGCACAGGAAATCTAACAGATTCAAAAAAATATGCAAGATATTCAGAGTATAGAGATATTCCCCAAAAAGCCTAAGTAAATTACTTGTCAGAAGCAGACCCTTAATGTATTTTATATTTCATGATCTGACCTGCAGTGCACAAAGGAGCAAATTTTGCCACCTGGGTGCATGTAAAAGTGCTGTGAGTGTGATGAGTAGTACCATACACTGTGTGCTTTCATGCCTAAATAGCAATTGAGGGGCAGGATTATAAAATGCTAGTTTGTATGAGTAGGGTCCAGATAAGCTCCCACATCTCCGCTACTCTTCCCCTTTTCTCTGGAGTGCCCTTCTTCCTCCCTCCAGTTTTAGTCAGTCAGCCCATGACCTGCACAGCCACAATTACATCCCTGTTACTCAGTATGCTCTGCAGCCTCTCCTTTTTGATCACTGTGAACCACTAAACCATCCAGCCCACCACTTACCTCCAGAGAGGGACATCTTTTATAGATTATGTTTCTAAGAGTCTTCATTTCCAGAATATGTCTATACCTTGCTAATTCTTTTTGCTTTGTGTCACAAGTGCAGACCTTTTTTTTTTTTTTTTTTTTCTTATCCATACAGCTAAAAATCTTAGAGAAATTTTGGGTGTTGCAGACACATATCTCAGTTACTGAAGTATCCTATATTTTGATTCCTGACAAATGAAGCCATGTTCTGTTCAAATCTATTTGGACTGCTGCTGTCAAGATTGCTATCTCCATCTGTTTCCTTGAGCTTGTCATTTCTCTGTCTCTTTCCACTGTCTCCTACTTCTCCACTTTAACAAATGCACTGGTTGTTCTCTATTCCAGCTTAAGTTACACTAAAATCAACACTAACAGGCTGATACCTCCATTTGGACTGTGAGCTCAGTTTCCATCATCTCCTTTACAATTTACATACATATATTTCCAATTTTTCATCTTTCTTTCCACTCACATTTGCAAGGAAGTCCCCGTAAACATGTTTGCAAACTGCTTGGCTATCTAAGCTCAGAAAGCCTATTCTAACGCTATTATGTAGTTGTTATTTATTTATTTATTTATTTTTTCCATCAGGCTGATTCCACCTAGTGTAAGCACTTGGACCCCTGAAACCTTCCCTTTTTGTTCTCATTAACACCATGTCTAAAGTAATGGGGTACTCATTCCTGACTAAAGTTTCCAGTTTGGTCGGATAATACAAACAGTAATTATTACTAACCTTCTTGGTCGCATGAAGCTAAACCAAAAGAAACTCAACTGACTCTAAGTCAGTATAGATATAGCTCAAGTTTATAGGTGTATAATAGAGAATAAAATTCTCCTTATTTTGAGTTTTCTATTCATCTTCAGAGACTAGGTAATTACCATATAGATCCCCTTCCACCCCCAAAGAAAGAAATGTGGCTTTAAGAAAAGTACAAAACAAACAAACAAACAAAAAACAGTGTATAATATTATACGCAATATTACGAATTAACTTTAAGGCTGTGAATTAAATACTTGTGAATTTCCATAAAACATTTAATATTTAAATAAAAATATTTAAATATTTTATTTAAATAATTTAAATAATTTTATTTAAATAAAATTAAAAAAAAATTTCCTTTCATTTAAAAATTAACTTGGTTCTACGTGATATCTTGAAGGCACTTTATTTCTTCATTCTCCCTGTTTTCTTTTCACAAATATAGTTAGACACATCGTAGGTTACTGGCTTGCAACACATCTCTTTGACAACACTGAAAGCTGCTTTTAAAATAATTGAAAGAATCTGAAAAGAGTATTTTGTATTTTGTAAAGCAAACTTGCTTCTAGTCTAAGATCTTTTATGCCAAGTTTCAGTGAATTCTTACAGCCAAGTTATACACTTCCTCTGACAATTTTTTAATAGTACCAGACAATTTGGCTGCATGGTATTGTTAATGAAATGATAAAAGGAAAACTCAACAACTCATTATGTTGGGGAACTGGTGGCACTAGACAGTTATTATGATTTTAGTGTTGTTTCTGTTCAGCAGGTATTAACATGTTTGGAAAAGGAGGAAAAAGGATAGTAATAAAAGCTAGTTTTTTTTTTTTTTTTTTTTTTTTTTTTTTTGGTGGATGAATGATTAGGCTTCAGCACACTGCCAGAGACAGCAAGTAATTTGTGGAAGGCATTGTTCAAAGCAGAGATATTTTTGGTGTAGAAGTATTATGCTGCATGCCAACCTTTTGGGAGGTCATGACAGAGTGGTAGAAGAAATTAAAAAACAAAACAAAACAAACAAAAAACCCACGCTGTATTTCATCATCTTCACCTACTCACCAGGAATCTGCTGCCTGGAAAATATGAATATAGCAATTAAACTTCCCTTTCTCAACAATAATGTCTTCTAGACAGGCAATATAGATGCATCCCTATACAAAGAGCCAGTACATTCTGTGCTGTGATAGAGGGTTTCTGCAGCTATTATAGAAGAGAATGTAAAAAACGTTGAAAACTTTGAATGGAATTCTTCTGTAACCAGCTAACACATATTCTTGGAATGGGCAAAGCATTTGTAGATGCAACTTTTAATAGAGAGATATGGAGTGTAAAGGGAGAGTAATTTATTTAGACCAAGAAGATGACATGAGAAATAAGACTTGTAGGTGGCTGAAGTTAAAGCTTATAAAAGTTAAAGGTGTTTTTTTTTGTTGTTGTTGTTTTTTTGTTTTTTGATTTTTAAGTTAAAAGTTAAAGTTAAAAGTTCTCACTCACAGAAAATACCTATGCTTGTTGTTTTGGCACTCCTCATTGAGTGTGTAAAGAACCAACCTGTGATCAGTGCTGGTAGCTTCACAACTGAAGTCATGATGTTGAATGTGGCAGAATTCAAAGCAGCAAGATGATCCTCTTTAATACTAAAAAAGTCCACTGTGACAAAATATGGATGATTTGGAATATATATATATATATATATATATATATATATATATATATATATAACCTTCTTAAAATCAGAACAAAAATAGGTTAATTACTTTTCAGATATCTGCAAGTGCCATGTGTAATCAGCACATAGCTTTTCTGTGAAAACTGCCAACTTGTTCTGGTGGCTCCAGAGAGGGGCTACTGCTGGGAAATAACTAAGATGCTCCCTCATTTAACACAGACCACAGAACAGCTGCCAGATATGAATGCCTTTCAGTCACCATTGATCAGGGATCGATTCAAATTAGTGACCTAGAAATAAAAGGCTGCATATTGAAAAACAAATTTCCTATACCATTCTGTCTTCAGTAATGAGAAATGCAACTGTCTGCCACATTTAACTTTCAGCTATCAAATACAAAAGAAATAAATGACCTTGAAACATGCCAATATGAAAAATCTCAAATACTTAGGACATTATTCTTCTTAAGTGTTGTTGTTGAGCTTGTTTTTTGTTTTATTTTTGTTTGTTTGTTTGTTTGAATGTTTCCTCACTGAGGTTGGTAGTAGGGTGTTTACAATTTTAGGCAAATGCAATAGGAAACTAATATTTTTTTTTTTTTCCCACAGTTTCTCATAAAAACTTGCTTTAGAAATGGTTTCTCAATCCTAAACTTCTTATATTACATTCAAACCCGCAGGGAGGTCATGCTTTCAGTTTCTAGGATAGAGTGCTCAGGACTTAGATTCCAGTTCTTGGCTTTGTAAGGACTGCCTCCATGCCCTTGGCAAGCTGTTTATATTTTCTCCATCTCAGTTTCCCACTTACAAATGGGGAAAAGTAATGTTTCCCTATCCTGGGAATATTTTGAAATTAAAGTCACAGATAACTGAAAGACACTCTGTTACACATAAACGAACAATCAAACCTTGACAATCTTATTGGGCTCTTTTGGCTGGCTAATGTTTCCTTTGAAGGCTGAGTTGGGAATACAAGGTTGAAATATTAGATTTATGGATATCATTTTCAAGCTTATGGTACTTAGAGATAAAAATAAACAATACTCCTCTCTCCCCAACCACTGAGGAAAATGGGTCAATCGAAAATTATCAAAATGACAGGTTTTTCCTTTCATTAAGATTACAAAACACTTAGCATTAGGAAGAATTGTAGAGATTTTTCTGACAGAATTAATTATTCTGAATGATTAGTTTGTTATGCTCCTTGCAGGCACCAAGTTTGGAAGAGGAAGTGCTTTGTCTTTCGATTAAAAATATCCAAACAGCTCCGTGGAGTCATGATCTGAGAAACCAAAACAAGTCCTTAACCATAGATAAATGAAGGTTGGCTGATTCCAGTTTGCAGAAAGCCAGAGGAAGCCCTCTGCTCTGACCCCGCGCCCTCTAGCATCACAGCTGGTGCACGAGCACAAAGACAACTTGGATGTAGATGCTGCTGTGGGCACTTTACACAGGATAGATTGTAAATTTGTCCATTTATGAGTGTCCTGCGGGGGTTCCCACCAACTCAGAAGACAAAGCAAGGGTTGAAGCAAACAAAGAATATCCATAAAAGCTCCTCTGATTGCCACTATTAATAAAATGGAGGCCATAAACAAATTTGCCGTGTACTGTTTCTTCAGTGGGGAAGTAGGAAAGCAGAGGATGCCGTCCCTGAGCTGAATGAGGTGTGTGTGTAACACAGGGTGAATGAAGAAGGTATCTATGCTCTATGAAAAATGGATCTGTCTACCAGAGATGTTTTCCTTTACACTTCTTTCTACTGGACTGTGAACATGAATTTCAGCCATCTGAAATCTCTAATCGCCTTGGTAGGGGTTTGCAAGTTCTTATCTGCAGTCCACATAAAACAGATATATTGGAATTTCTGGGGTGTTTTTGATATTTTGTTTATAAAAATTCAGAAATAGGGAGAATACTTCTGAAATTGTCTTTGCACATGTCAGCATACCCCACTGAGATCCATTTATAACGTGTATTTTTCATATTCATTCACCCTTTCTAGCAATAACGACAAAATTCTTTGGTTTGATGCCAACATCTCTTTGAAGGAATGATAATACAAAGCATTAGATATGTTCCAAAAATCACAGAAGTGTTAAACAAATGACTTAATCTGGGGGGGGGGAGGAGGAATGATTTACATCATGTAACTTGTAGTCTGCCTTGTTCTGCAGGTATACATCCAGAAAACTTTACTGCTTCCCAAAGCTTTACTGTAAAGTTACATACATTGAGTGTTTACTAGGCAATGAAGACCCAAGACAAAAAATATTAAGTCTCAGTTGTTCCCAGAGAATATGAAGGTTAAGAAGGGGCTAAACACTATCTGTGGCCCAGCAGTGCGAACTTCAATTAGGGGCAAAGACCTTCAGGACACCTGGGATCAGTCAATGGCAACTGATGTGCACAGCAAATGCCAGAATTACAGGGTATGAGAACATGAAGATACTACTTGTGCTATAACTTGCTGTATTGAACTTGGGTCCTTTTTCAGATAATTGGTATTTAGGAGTTCGGAGAAGCTTTATACTGAAGAAAACAGGATAACTATCATGGCATTAATTTGCTGCCCAGGGAACCATCAAACAGCCAAGATGTCCACGTGGGTGTTTTTTTGCTTAACTTTAATTAGTGCCAGTTAATTTCTGGGTAGAAACCGGACACCTACCTTAGCTGGAATTTATGATCTGGAAACCACTAAGAAAAGCCAGTTTCCGTTTTTTTACATCGCAAACCTAACATCACGTGGTCACACTCTGTCATGCAGTAATGCTGACAGCAGTGCAGGAAATTGCCTGGAGAAACGCCCTCATTCTATTTCACTTGGAGCTCATTTGTTCTGAAACATCCAGTGACAAAATTATGGTGTGGTTTTTACAGGAGTATGTGTCTAAACTCATACTCCTGCTTTTTCTGCAAATCTGGGTTAGAAGATCTCATTTTTCTCAACCCACACATAACATGCTCTGCCAACTGCACAGACAATGACCTGTATTCATCCACACTGAAACTCTGTTGACATCAGCAGGCTACAACAGAGATAAATTTGGTTGAGTAAGGCAAAGTGCTTAGAAATGGGTTGGTTTTGCTCTTTTACCCAAGGAAAATGCATCTAGAAACATATCATACTTTCATGCTGACATGCATAAATGTCTTCAACATTATCAGGTGACTGGTACTCCTGCAGATTCACAGTTATTATTATTATTATTTTAAATACATGCTTAAATTGCAAATTCAGTGCATGGTATTTTATTTTCTTCTGCAACACAAATCTACAAATTTGTTTTTATTCTGTTTATTTTATGTTATTCTGTTTTTATTTTGTTCTATTTATTTATTTATTTTATTTGAACTATCAACACATTAGGCATTTCCTGTTTTTAGGAAGCACCTGAAAATAACCAAGACCCAAGCAACCTGAAAGCAAAAGCTGTGGAAAAGATACATCTGAGATTGTATTTTCTGCAGATTTAACTACATCCTTGAGATAGATGCCTCTAAAATCAACATCTAAAGCCAGAAGTTACATTGGATACATGACTGAATCATTGTTTTCCTTTAAAATGCAGCTTTGTAAGGGCAAAATGTCCTTTACTTGAAGGAATGTTCACTCCCTTTTCTACACAGTACAGAGGAACTGGAAAAAGAGAGGTTTCCTTACAATACTGGTTTTTCATTTGTTTTTTTTTTTTGTTTGTTTGTTTGTTTGTTTGTTTGTTTTAATCTCAGATTTATACCAAAAAAGAAAGTCAAAGGTGCCGTTCACAGAATAGAAAGCTCTCACATATTATAGCTAATATAAACAATTAATTGTATTGTGAATAAAACCAGTTATCAGGTTGTTGACATTGAGACCTGAATGACCAAGCCCTGATACCAGAAGACTTTTTTCAGAGATTCTCAAAATGTGAAATGTTGCTTTTAAATATGTTGAGAGACCAACATTTCAGATTCACCTGCAAACTACTTATTACAAGTATGACTTAGAAATGACCATATCTGATTTTTTTGAGTTTTCTTTGGCTTTGGTATAACCAAATTCAGATTATCCTCCTGCAAAGTTAGTATAATAATATTTAAACACTTGCAAAAGACTTAATTAGTTAATTAATATTTGTACAGTCATAAGAGATTCTTGTCTGTGAGGTACTGTGTTAATTTTACAAGAAATTTCATTGAAAATTTAATAGAGAAATAAATACTTGGGTACAAGTTCCTTACTATATTTTAATTAAATGTATTTTACTTCTTTTGTATTCTTTAACAAAAAAATAAAATGAAGCCAGTAGCACTTCCCCCCTCCTGAACGCCCCCCTCCCCTCCCCAATAAATAAAATAAAATCAAGGAATCAAACCCATGAAAACAAAGCTGTGGTGGCAGAAAGATTTTGTAGTAACTAAGCAATCATCCAACAAGTTTGGAAAAGTACCAGATCATTCCTCTATGACTTGCAATGCTGATTTTCATCTCGTTGCCTGGTTCATACATACCACAAATAACCCCATGCAGAGGACAGTTCTGCATGATGGGAATTCAGTCCCCAGTGCCAGTCCTTCAAAAATTGACTCATTGTTCCTGGAAAATTAGATTGAAGTGAAAACAACTGGGTGGTTCAAAGTAAAGCTACAATTTGGTTTGGGACCACTTACTATCATACCAGATAACTTTTTGCAACAATTTGCTGTCACCACATGTACTAAGGCAAAGAGTCTTATGCTAAAATACATGTTTAATTTACTGTGAGGTTCATTTTTAGCTGGGCTGCCCACAATGCTGGCTTACCAATTTGGGGAATAAAGGAAGTACAACAAGAGTCCCTGACCTCCAGATAAACTGAGACAACGTAGTACAACACACAAGCTCTGAAAGTAAACATCTGCTATGGTAAAATAAAAATGGTAATAGGGGGTGTCTTCTTGGTAAGACATACTTCCTCTTCCCATCTACATGTTTCATATATGACGAAACAATACTAGAAAAATAAATCACACCCTAAGAGACTAAGGAGACCAGCAGATTCCTTTCATGCATATCCACTGGAGAGGAAGTTGAGACACAGTTTGTTGTGCCCAGTCAAGTAGAAAATATTATGCAATGAAGTGCCTGGCTGGATCCATGTAATCCAGCAACAAGGAGAAGGATTACTTCTCCTGACATGTTGGCAATGCTGTAGCACAGCCCAGGATGAAGCTGACCTTTTCATGCAAGAGCATATTGCTGGCTCATGGCTGAACTGGTACCCACCATGACTCCTAGGTCCTTTTCTGGTGAGCTGCTTTCCAGCAGGTGAGCCCCCAACATATATTGGTGAATGTGGTTGTTCTTCCCCAGGTGTAGGACTTCACACTTTCCTTTGTGTCAGCCTATTTTTCCTGTGGAGCACAGCCCTGTGAACAACACCCATCTGGTGTTCCAACCCTTTCTTCCAATTTTGAATTGCCTGTAAACTTGCTGAAGGCACATTATGTTACATCATCCCAGTCACTAATAAAGATTCTTTGAAGTTTTAAGCACAGTATATGATTTTTCTAACATCAGTAGATACCTGCTGATTCATGAAGATGATGCATATATCACCATGCTGAATTTTTCATAAAGAACTGGTACATAATGCATAATTTGTAGTTGTGTGACAATGACAGAACATACATTCTATTCTTCTCTATTTGGTTTATAACATTTTAGACTGCATTTTGGACTTTCTCTGAGTTGTGTGATATAAACAACCAATGAATTGAGTTCTCTCATCACTCAAATCATATTCTGTCTCTTTTCCGTGGCAAGGAAGTCAGGCTCAAGTATGTTGTGGCTGTCCCTCTACTCAGAATTAGACATAAAGTTGAATAGAATATGCCACACTGCCCATATCTGGTACATACTAAGAAAAGCTAAATGATGTCTCATGTTGACAAATTCAGCCTTAAAACATACTCTCAAGAACAAAATATTTGGAAAGTCTAAGAACTTCTGAGTAGCTACCCAAAATTTATGTCATTTTTCTCCACAAAACAGATACTTCTGCAATACTTCATACTTCATGAGATTTACTATCAGAACCCTAGGCTAACTATCAGAACTGATATTTCAGTGTGACTTTCAGATGTACAAGAAGTCCACTTAACTCCGTAGTGCTTATTCTCCAGAGTGTAAATCTTCAGGACTAGGCATGTGCTCAGGACTGCTATAAGAAGATAGAAAGGGAAAAACACCTGGTGCTCTCCATGGCTATGAGCCATCTCTGAGAGACTGGAAATTTCATCACGGCAAGAGAAGAACATGCTCTGAAAAAGACAATAAGCATGCTCTGACACTACTTACATGGAAATCCAAATTGTTGCAGATGATGTCTTTCGAAACTAGTCAAATACTGTGGAAAAGACAAACCTCTAACTTGAGTAATAATTGGTCTCTTCAATAATCTCTCTGATGCACTTTATGGCTGGAAGGAAATGAAGGTGTTTTCACTTCCAGTTCTTTGCAAGCCATCTTAAAGGGATGCTGAGTGATGCAATGTACAAATACTATTGCTACAGAATGAATGAATACTTGTAAACTAAATCTGCCCATCAATACCTGCAAGAAATGTCAGACT